GTGGCGCACTCATGCATTCTGAATGGGTGGTACAAGTAGGCAAGCATGATGTAGTTGTATCTCTGGGTTCCCTAGACTCAAGGCTTGTGGAGCGGATTCGAGTGGTTTTGATTTCCAAATTTTGAGGTTTCCGTAATTCTCCTTGAGCATGTGGAGACTTCGGAATTGCTGGGGGCGTTTTAGAGATTGCCCTCTCTCTTCCTCTCTGATCAGTTGCAGAACCAACCGCTGTATCTGGGAGACGCATTCCGCGGCACATTCTCTTACAGTCGCAGCTGCGTCGCTGTTCTCTTGAGATCCCAGGAACTTTCTGTACAGGACTTGTGCGCAGTTGGCAGGCACAAGGGGTAAATGATGGAACGGGAGAGGATCCCTGTGGAATGAACTCTCCTTGTGATGTTTTAGGTTTTAGAAGCTCCTCCAGGAACTCTAGCTCGTACTGCCTGACTTTTTGAAGCTGTGCACGACGCTCATCTGTCTCTCTGCGCAAACGTGCTGGAAAAGTGGCTGAAATTAAGTTCCTAAAACTCAGGAATGGAGTACTACGCTGGGATTTGGCTTTGTTATTGGCCTGTTTCTTGTACTCAGCTCCTGGGATAGTCGCACCCTTTTCCACACAACTTAAGACGTGTGTTGGGTCTACCAGAACAGGCACACTTTTAGGAGTTTTCTGTGGTTCGACAGGGGCTTTACTCTGGGAGTTCTCTGCCTTTGCCTCTGACATCTCTTTCTCTTCTGCTTTAACGGGCATAACTGGTGAGTACTTAGTAGGAGGCAGGGTGCTGGGCTTCACCAAGCTTGCATCAGGTGTCTTCTCTGTGTTCTCTTTGTTGATAGCTAACTGAAGTCCTTTGGCACGGAGACGCTCATCGTCTGTCGGAGACGAGTGAAACACTACCACTTTTGGGGCCTGTGGATCTTTTAGACGCACCTGTGGGCCAGGCTCTGGTCGTACTGGACATGTGCAGAACAAGTCAGAAGCTGGCAGAAGGCCCTTTGAACTTGAAGGCTTAGTGGTCTCACTTAGAGAGGCATTCTCGGCATCTTGGCACATATTTGTTGAACAAATTTTTGCAGATGCAGTTTTGTCCACAGGCAAGAGAACCGGTAAGGCTATACTGGTAGTTTCTAGGGTAACTGTACCAGAGTCTTTTCCCTGGACACCTTCTGAGGTAATAGAGCTTGGTTTTTCTTTACTAGCAAGAGGCAATTGATCTGTGTTGACTTGGGGAGCACAAACTTGTTCTGATGCTTTAAGTTCTTCAGATGCCTGTTGTTCAGACTCTTCCAAACACTCTTTTACAGGGACTTTTTCTGATGTTTCTATATCCTTCTTACTTTTTGCTTCATGGCTCTTCCCCTGCTCCACAGAGCTGTCAGAGGGAATAATTTCTTGACTGGGACAAACTTTCGAGGGCACTGTCTTACTTAAGATCACAGGCTTTGGTGGACACCCACCACGGATCTGACTCATTGAAAAAGCCCCTCCCCCAATTGCTTGTGTTGTACAGCCAGGGATTGACAAGGGGAAGTCTCGTCGACTGAAAAGTCGCTCTTTGTTGATGTGGTGGGCAAATAGATAAGCCTGGTTCTGATGCTGCTTCATGGCAGACACCATCTCAGACACATCAGTTAGCTCTGATGAATTTGTCTCATGTCCAGAGTCTAGGGATGATTCAGGGGTTATGGCAGCAAGCACAATCAACCCTGTAAGGGAACAGAAACAAAACACAACCATGCTTGTAAGAAATCACGTAAGCTCTTCAGGTAAGCAAAATTACAGATACAAAATACTTGTTGTTCTAACAAAAGTAAATATTAAACTAATCTAAAAATGTTGTTAATGCACAACTCCTCTGTTGTTTTGAGGTGGAGTAGTTTGCATTGACACTGCATTGATGCTTGTTTTGGGACTGTCTAGCTTTATATGTTAGTCTACTATAATTTGAAGATAATTTATCACAATAAGAGCACAAACCACTCATTTTAAATGAATACTTATGATTTTCTAATTTGCTTGACTTTCAAAAGTTTAATTTACTCATAGACATGGTAAAGAACCAGCACTTTAATAGTACATATGTCCACCTGCTGTCTGTGGTGTCTGCTGGTGATGGTGTGGGTAATCCTCCGATGCAGCTAGTGCTTCCAGTGCCTGGAGGGTGGATACTAATGCATCATCTAACTCCTGAGCATGGTCTTGAACTGTCCTAGTGGTCACATTATCAATCAGTGTTACAGGAACTTCCTCTTGACCCTTCGCCACAGCAGCAGAGGCTTTGATTCCTTTCCGACCCTTTTTCGGGTCATCTTCGTCAGAGCTGTTATCACGAAACCCTGGGGGTGGAGCTGCTATGCCAGGAGGGGGAGGCTGCAGCTTTCCTGCTCCATCATCTAGCTCTTCATCTTCCTCATTCCCAGGTAGTGGTAAGGCAATGAGATCAACAGCACCTCCTTCGCGAGTAGCACATGCATTTTTGCACTGCTGCAAAATGAGTCTTCCAGCCTCCCCAGTGTCCGAAATCAAACCTTCAGCTTGGAGTTTTGCCTTGCAGGAGTCACAGAAAAACCTCTGTTTAGGCTCCATTGTTTTCGCTCTGTTCCTGAAGCTTGAACTGTCATCAGTCGGACCCTCTTCTCCCGGCACGGATTCAGTGCTCTTTAGAGTGGGGTCAGACTTTGTGCGCAAGCGACTCTGTACCTGTGAGATAAGGTTCTCATTAATGTCAAGCTCCTGCTCTGCCTGTATCTGAAGCTCTTGCATCTGTTGTTGCTCTTTTAAATGGATGTGACACAGGCCAAGGTGCTGAGATATGGGTGACGCTGATGTCTTCTGTGTTGCCTCTCTCGACGCCCCCTCTCTCTCTTCGCGACGACTCCCACTTAACACAGTGGCTCCGGAGCGTAATTGGGCATGGGAGCTTCTGGAATCTAAAGGACAGAACTGTCTGAGTGGTTGAACGAGTAGAAAACATGATGGATGTGAATGAGTCCAGATGACAAACGTGAATCTGTTGAGTTCTCAGAGATGGAAAAAAAGCCTTGTGGGATGTGATGGTATGCTGTGATCTTTCTCTTTTGCAGACCACAGGAGATGCCAACATCCAGGACATGGATTTGTAATACAATATAATATATATAATGAACTTTCAGATATATGAATTTATCTAGATCAGAATTTTCGTCACATTCACATGAACTGACTCAAGATGAAGGTGGAGAGCTCAAGAAGATGGAGAGGTCAAGCTGGAATTATGAATGATTGCCATGATAAATCTTTACAATAATCAGAAATTCCTTTTGGAAGCAATCTGATTAATTCATGTCATGATTTATTGATTGATTTTTCTCAATATTAGAAAAAAGTTAATGACCAGCATATATTTAAGATGCCTCCATGGGCATGTTCTCACCATTATTACACCTATTTTGCTTTGAAATGTCCCAAGCTGCATATGTAACACAACATATTTTAGTTCCGCTTGTCATTGAAAGATGAAAGCAAAGCAAATGCACTTTCAGAAAATGATATGCAATGACTTTTTATATATATATATATTTTAATGAAATTGCAACAATAACATTTCTAACATACCTGCCTTGATCATATAAGGCTGACCAGGTATCCTGCAGTAGATTGTCCTTTTAGGGTCCACAAATAGCTTGTAATAGCCAGATATCAAACAGGCAAAGTTTGATGCATCTGGCCACTCCATTAACAAGACCAAGGGCTACAATAATTAGTATGGAAAAATATATTAGTTTAGTATTACATTTTAGAATGTTACATATTCAACATGACATCATGACTTTTGCGTAAACATATACGCCACTTTCGAGTCAGGTGACGTGTTATCTCTACGCATTTTGAGCTATCCGCGTGTATGCGTATATGTCTACGCCATTAACGTCCGCGTCATTCCGCGTGTCTGTACACGCAGTCAAATCTCCAGTCATAAATGCCATTAACCCCAGTGACGGTTAAGTTTAGGGACGGGGTTGAGGTAAGTCATATCTTTTTTTACCTAGGATGGTAAGAGAACAGTCATAAATGCCATTAACCCCAGTGACGGTTAGGTTTAGGGACGGGGTTGAGGTAAGTCATATATTTATATAACGTTAAGTCAACGGCGTTCATAAACACGCTGAAAGGCGATTATGCGTCTTGATAGCATGCCAAAAATGGAAATACGAATTGGCGTGTCATATACACGCTACTTCATGAGATCAGTCTGACATATTGCAATACTGACTACGTTTACATGCAGCCAATATTCGGGTTATGGTCGGGTTCACTATTCGGGTTTCTGAAACATTAGGAATGACCCGTTTACATGCGTGAGCAGAGAGAGTTTCTCCTGTATACATGGAATTGCAATATCCCAATGTAAACGGCAACGCGCGGTTAGCGTCTAGACGTACGGACAACCTTAAGACGCAATATGCGTCATTTCCGATTCTTCTTCCTGTATCCAAAGACAACAACAACAGCATCACGCGGATAATGAATATTTCAGGGGAGATAGCGATCGCCTTTGTTTGCGTTTTGATGCTGGTAACGTTACTGACCTCGCTCCAAAAGTATGCTGTGCTGCGTCTCACCTGGTCTCGCCATGTTTACTTCCGGTATACTGCGCGCGGATTTTTGTACGCGTCGAGAAGTTTCTCTACTCAAAAGACCAAGATTCTTTGCAAATAGAACATGCGCAGAAGTGTTGTAGTCGAGACCACCTCACTCGAGTCCGAGTCGACACCGAGACCAGAGAGAGTCGAGTCCGAATCAAGACCGAGTCCATAGAGAGTCGAGTCCGAGTCGAGTCCGAGACCAGAGACGGTCGAGTCCGAGTCGAGACCGAGACCAGTGAGGGTTGATTACCTAATTTACTTTTATTTACTTAGAGAAATCCTTTTTTTTTTATTTTTTTACTGAATTTACTTAGAGTTTAAAAAATATGATCAGTTTAGGGTAAAAAGGCCACATAGTAGGTGGTGTTAAAAGCAATTTTATTACATATTGTCATGCGCAGTTGCGCACTAGAAAATCACCAATCACTGGGCGTGTCAATCAATTTAAAGAAATATTTTATTAACATACATTAATAATCATGAAAAATATTTTTAATTGAACAAGAGTGGACTCGGGAATAAGTCCGAGTCCTAAAAAAAAAAATGTTCGAGTACGAGTCAATTCCGAGTCCAAATGCACACGAGTCAATGACAAGACCAAGACCATTAAAATATGGTCTCGAGACCGAGTCCGAGTCTCGAGTACTACAACACTGCGCAGAACACAAATCACTATGGGGATATGCCGATACGTGTTTACATGACCAAAAATTCTGGTTAGAAAAGGGGTACCCCATGTATAATATCCCGGTTTTTAAAATCTGGGATATGAGCATATTCGGGTTTTTGACGGTGTTTACATGGCTGTTCGCGGCCGGGTTATTGCTAATATCCCGGTTTTGAATGGGTTATTGGCTGCATGTACACAAAGTCACTGTTTCTCTTTCACACACAAAATGACCATAGGGTTAACACTATAATATAAATTCATTCAGCTTTCTGCATTTTTTCACACCTTTGCTTCCAGAATAACAACTTCAACACGGGCTACCCCATGATGCTCTCTAAAGAGCTGGACTTTGGCCACTCGGCTGAACTCTGCTAAGACAGTTGTTAGGTTGTTCTTCAGGTCAATTACATGACTGATACCGTGTCTCGGCCCAACCAACAATGTAGTGGCTGACTGCTTCTCATCCTTTCAATAGAAAAAGAAAAGAATCAGAAATTGAAGAAGTACAGGCTTTTTTTTATCTAATGAGATATTAAAACATTTTCGTAAATCTTTAAAATTAGTGCAAAAGTGGAAAGATTATTTGTACAGTCTTGATTATTGGTTGAGAAGCTATGTTACCAAGCCAACTGTGTGAAACAAGAAGCCTCCAAATGGCGGGAGGTCATTCAAGACACGCATATACTGTAGTTTTCCTTGAATAGAAGAAACCTGCATGGATGAAGAGAAAATAAAACTGGTGAGTTGTGCTAAGTGCACAGAGAGTGATATTCTAGCCAGCAGAGGGCAATGTTTCGCTGCTATAAGGTGTGCGATGGCTAAATGATCAGCATATAGAAATGAATTGCACACATCAGATATGCTCTTTGGCCATAAAATTAACACAAATACTAAAACAACTACATTCTGCATTAGATGACAAATGGCTTCTTTGTGACATGTTTATTAAGTCACATTTGAGAAGAAAGCCTTCTATTTCAGATTTATTTGACACAAATATTCTTAGTAAGCAGATATACCTTGTTACCAGCTGGTGGAGGATGCTGATATGTCTTCAACAGCTGTGAGAGAGTCTTGCAGACGTTTTTCTCTTTGACGGTTGGCAACAGAGTCAAAGGAAGGAAAGGTTCCAAACCCCATTCTTTCCTAAATAAAATTATGCAGGTTTAAAGCATGCAACCAGCTACAAGACCTTGGTTTTATCAGCATCATCTGCCACTGCCACTGATGGATAACAGCTTATCCACTTGTTACCACTTGTGTTTCTTTGGAAAAAGAAGGCTGACACGAAAATTCTTTCATTATTCAAAATTCATGCACGTTTTAAGACTTACTCAACGTGCTTTAGAGAAATCTTCTGATTGGGTCTCGCAATGGACACAGTGATGTAGATGTGAAGGGCTGCCAACCTAAGTGTAACGTCGGACTTCCAATCCATTCCATATCGCTCTTTAATGACGTCATTGCGGCTCTGTGGGAATTCAGAACAAACAATAGATGAAAAAATTTTATACTAATATCAGACACATACACTATGTGAACATTCTTTGACTCAGGACTAAAGGTCTCATGAATAAATCCACCTGTATGTAGAGGTACTCAAATGCTGCGGGGTCTCTCCTCAGTAAGTCAGCAGGGTCCTTTGGGAAGAAGCAAATACGGAAAAGACACTTCATTCCTTGGAAATAGGTCCTGTGAACTACCTGAAAATATAGAAGAAAATGAGAATTCAGAATTTATTACAGAATTCACCTTTAAAATACAGCAACAAACATTCCAGTACTAAATTGTCACATTCCATTCCTTATGTAAGGTTATGTGCTACTGGCAGCTATATCAAATTGAATTCAATGTCACGTAATTTAGTTGCTAATAAAACAGTTTCACTGTATATTTATAGAGGGTATGCGCGTGATGTCACCGTCGGCCGGAGTGCCTGCAGTTACTCACAGTGAGTGGCAAAAAGACTGAGCGGCTGTATTTGTTATCAGCGTGAATGCCGCGAAAATCAAACACAACACATATAAAGTGGGAAAGAGCTTTGCGATTGACTGAACAACTAGATTTGACAAATAAAATAAGAGGTATATTTTTACAGACTGCGATAGAAAGAGGAGCAAATGGATCGCTGCAATTCACAGAAACAACCGGACTCCAGTCAGCGAAAGCTGGATTTGCGGTTATCATTTTGTGTCAATATGCTGAATTTAGGTGGAAAACCATACCCATATATTTTGTATTGTTATATATATATTAACAACTCATCAATTAAATATGTATCATTGCATATTCTGCATTATTGGATGTTTTTTAATAAACACTGACCATAAAAAGTCTATATATAGCACTGATATAAGTGATCAGCTGGATTTAGACCTATATTGTATTTATATAAAGCGTTCACAGGCAAATTTGCTTCATGTTTAGGTCTATATTGCTTTTATTTCCCCGGTGTGGAAATCAGGCAAACATAAATATCAGGCAACACGATTCCTGGCTACATGTCAATATCCACGGATCACTGGATCTTTAGTAAGTTGTAAGGAACACTACAGTATATTGAGTCCAAACTTTAGTTTAAATTGATAAAATTGTTTTTTTAATTGTATTTTCGCAGTTTCCCCTATTAAACCCAGTCACGCAGCAGATCTTTTGCCACTCAGTCAGGCTGAGGGGGGTTGTTCTGGCGCGAAAGTGACGTCAACACATTCCCTCTATATACGACAATATCCATAAATCTGAGACCACACTGCCAATAAAATCCATGATTCAAAACCAAGCGGCAATATTCTAATCTGAAAGATGAAGCCTACCCGGAAGTGCGAAAAACTGCAATACATCTAAAATCCGCTAGAGGCCGGTCCCAAAAGGGAGCAAATCTCCATAGACGTCATGTTATAATGTCCGTTTTCACAGCATAAATTCATATGTTTACAGTTTGGTCCCATGGACTTTTATTGTAATCTTCAATATGTTCCGCGTGCCTGACAACTGTGAGGGAGGTGCATTTTTTTCTAACTTGTTAGTTTAGATCATATTTAGATATAAAATGTATGACAAATAAGGGCAGTTCACTTTGATTGACAGCTGATAACGGGCTGTGCCGAGTGAATTTGATGGCTCATGATCTGACACAACACAACATACCACCTCTGTAACATTTGTATTTTCCAAGATTTTCCACTATGGGGCCATCCATACCCCCCATAAACAGCCTCAAACCCGTTCCTCAGAGAGTCTATGGGTGACGTCACAGACGCTTTGTCCATATTTTTTACAGTCTATGTTCAAAACCAGTGAATAAGGAACAATGGAATAATTTAACTGGAAATTTTATTTCTGTCACTATAATCAAAAAAAAAAAAATTCGTAACTGAGCATTTGAACTCCTTTTTACAGACGGTCTTGCTTCCATTGGACCACCCGATGCTCTTTGGAATATTTTCAAATCATGCTGCGTAACATGGATCACTAGAACTTAATGACCATATGAATTAAAATTAAGAAGTTTTTTTTTGAACGTCCGTTGTTTGTTGCAACTTGCAATTGGATGGAAGCTAGTGTACCTTATACCACACATTTAAGGATTTCTCCTAAACCCTTTAAACTTTAGAGTGAAGGTAATGCATCAGCCATTGGTTTTTGGGTGGCATTTACTCACATGAGACAGTGGCTGGTTTTCCTGGAGCAGATGCAGCCTCTGATTCTGGGCCAGTCCACCGGACTCCAGCACCAAAGCAAAGTGCTCAATGTAGCGTAGAGAAAGGCGATCCTGCAGCGATGATATCACATCCTGTGGCAAAAGGGAAATAGAGAACAATTTTGGGTTTATTTGGATGTCCACTTTATTTGGATGGTCCTTTTAACACATTCAGTTCACTATAAGTAACGTTACACCTACATCTCTACAAACTCTTACTAGAGTGTTACTAGAGGATTAGTCGATTGGTAGGGTTAGGGATAGAATATGTTGACGTAGTTGCAAAGTTACTTAGTCAGTAGAATGTTTGTTGGGGGAGCACAACAATAAAGAGTTGGCAGATATTAAGCAAACAGTCTACTAATACTCTAATGACAGTTAGCAAAGTTACTTGTAGCCAACTGAATGTTCAAAAGCGACCATCAAAACAAAGGGTTACCCAATTTTGTCATCCGAGTAGCCTAATGGTTGGTGTTTTTAGCCCCTAAAGCATCATGAATTCTGCTATATTACAATATTTTAGATATGCAATGCAAAGTAAATGTAGTGGAAAGCATTGGCATCAGCAGTGTGTAAACTACAGGAGGATAGGCTTGACATTTCCATCAGTTGATGAATCATTGAAACCAGCACTCTTAATCACTGTACCCTGCTCTGAGTATATCTGTCACTGGAGACAAATGAATGAGGGTTTCTACTGACTAGTGGCTTTACTTTTGAAAAGACTCCTAATATTTGATGAGGTTTCTATGTGACTAAAGCAAATGCTGTGCTACAAATGCATGCTTGTCTGGGGCGTACTGACCAGTGTGAAGCGATGCATTATATGCTTAGTGTTTGATGATAGTAACACTCTCAATGGCAGATTGACAGATTACTTTGTTGTGGACTGTCTTGTCACCATGATTGAGATAATCTGTCTGGTGATATTGACCAAAGGGTGAAGATATCAACTCAGGAAGGATTGTGAGAAATGTTAACCTCGCTGTGAAACCACAAATGTAGGTTTTATTCTTGTTTCTTGACATCAATAACAGTACTTTGATATTGATTGTACATGATATTTTTCCTGTTTGGCTGGAAATTTCAAAAATGTATAGATTCTTTGATGCTGACGTAATTGTAAAAGTTGTGTTTTACATGTTTCAAATGATTATAGCCCCTGGAAAAATTGCCATTCACAATTTAAAAAAAAAAAAAAATCTACATAATGTAAGATCAGCTCTGCAAATGAAAAGTGCTGACATGTTTTCCCTCTTTTGCTTTCAGAATGAAATCTAATAATGTTGGCTAATGAATTTTCTAAACCAAGTTAAAACTTAAATGTGCAGGTGTGAGTTCGGTTATAAAATGCTGCGTTGCCATACTAACCATTAGCATCTGTTCTAGGGAGTCTTGTTTTGTGTGAAACATGAAAGGTGATTGAAGATGAACATAAATATACAAATGCATCCCATGCACAACAATGTATATTCTTTGTTTGCGTTACCCGCCTTGGGAATATGTAATTTAGCATAACACAGTCTCATCCCAAAAAGTCATATAACTGACGTCTTGGGGCGTATTTTGACCATACGTCAATATCCGCCTTTTTAGGGCCCCCTTAAACGTCGGTAGATGGCGATCCCGGGCCGTCATACAACTGACGCTTTACCTTTAACGTCAGTTAGGTGACGGGTTAGGTTTAGGGTTAGGTTTAGGTATGGGGTAGAGTTAGGATCCCATATCCGAATATTGACGTATGGTCAAAAGACGTCCCAAAACGTCAGTTATATGACGTCTTGGGATGAGACCGGGTTGTTTAGCAATACTACAATCTGGCAGGTTCATTAAATAAACAAATAAAATTCAAATAAATTCATAGTGAATTCCCTCCCATTGTGTTTCTAATAACAGCAAACAGTTTTCCCATAATACTCACCCTAACAGTGGTGCGGTTGTCAAATGTAAAGGATTTGATCTGTCCATTTTCCAGAAACACCTTCAACACATTTGGTATCAGAAGCAAAGACTCGTCTTTAAGCATGGTCTAAAAAAAGAAACAGAGGGGAGAAAGAAGAAGAAGCGGTCAGTGAACATTGGATGAGATATTAAGGGAAGAAAAGACCCAATAGGTAAATACAGAGAATAAAATCAAATATCTTCTAAGAGTCAAAGAAAGAATGTAGAAACACATGAGAGGACTTACACTGCTTTTCCCATAGAGTTAAAGTCTAAAACAATGGTTAAATGGCTAACTCAAATGCAATAGTTTAAATGAATTGGAAATATGACCAAAATTAATTTAGACACACATTATGACTCATTGAGAATTAAGCATGAGTTGTATCACAACCATTCCATATCCAATACGAAACCATGTTCGAAATGCAGATCAATTGGACTCAAACACTGAATTCAGTTGCAGCATATATTTGTTGGAAAAAGGGGAAATCTTCAAGGCGTCTACTTTCTATCCAATAAAAAGTTAAAGGTGCACTAAGTCATTTTTTTATATGTTGAATTGGCTCATTCATTTTCCTGGATCAAACGCCTACAGCCATGCTGTCAACCCCAAAACCTTGTGTTGGCCAGAACCGACTCCAAATCATTGATCTTCATTAAACTGAAATGGTATGCTGTCTTTGTTTGAGTCACCAGATCCATGTGTCACTGAACTGAAATGTCTCTGGGCGTTAATAGAAGTACACTGTACCGAGTCTGACCTCATGGCAGAGTCTTCAAAGTTGCCTGGAGAGGGTTTATAATTCACATCAAATAACCGAGATGCCTCAAGGTTCAGTGCTTGGCCCCTTCCTATTTAGAGTAGAAAAATCAGCTGAATATACTGCACAGCTATTGTCGTCTCAAGACTGGACTACTGCAGTGCTCTGTTGGCCAGTGAAACAGAACACATCCATAAGTCCGGTCCATGTCACACCCATCCTAGTCTCACCGTTCCTTTTGTGGTGGAACAACCTTCCGGACTCTACATGAATGTTTGCTAAATGAATAAATATAAATCTTTCTGAACAACCAAAGACAACATCTTTAAATGTTATCTTGACACCTGTTCCCGAAGATGCAGAAAATTGTAAAAGCAAAGTTTTAGTATGGCATTTAAAGGAGAACTCCGGCGAACAATGAACCTTTGGTCTAATAAAATATCGGTACATAGTCAACCGTTCTCTGAGATTTGTTTTCATGATAGTCGAATGTAAAGAGTTTTATCTCTAAAAATTGTTTAGCGTATAATGCTAGTAATGGGGGCATTGAGTAAGTAAAAAGAAATCGCTAGTTTATACCACTAACAAGGCTCAAAATAGCCCCACACTAACACAGTAATATAATGAGGCTCCATATATGCAAAACGAAGCACTGAGAACTTTGTAAGTGTACAGACCGTTTAATAAGAAGATACTTTATGAAGACACTTCACTTCGCGTATACAGACAGGAGCCATCTTAGAAAATAGTCTCGATAAGTCAATCCACGAACATCGTGCTGAGTGATCTGAACTCTATGAAGTTCAACGAACTTCTGAACTGTATGAACGGCGTTCGGGGATCGACTTATCGAGACTATTTTTTAAGATGGCTCCTGTCTGTATACGCGAAGTGAACTGTCTTCATAAAGTATCTTCTTATTAAACGGTCTGTACACTTACAAAGTTCTCAGTGCTTCGTTTTGCATATATGGAGCCTCATTATATTACTGTGTTAGTGTGGGGCTATTTTGAGCCTTGTTAGTGGTATAAACTAGCGATTTCTTTTTACTTACTCAATGCCCCCATTACTAGCATTATACGCTAAACAATTTTTAGAGATAAAACTCTTTACATTCGACTATCATGAAAACAAATCTCAGAGAACGGTTGACTATGTACCGATGTTTTATTAGACCAAAGGTTCATTGTTCGCCGGAGTTCTCCTTTAAGTAATATCCTATTTAGATGTAGTCTGGGTTTCCCCATGCTGCCTTCCCGCAGCGCGATTTTATTCACGCTGAAAGGCAGTCTGGATACCATGGTCCAGATTTTCGCCTCATTTATAGGGAACCAATCACAGAATGGGGAGGGAGTAGCAAGACGACATCTATGCGACACACCGAAGCAGTTTGTTTATTTCTATGGATTCAACATGGCAGCAGATGCAAAGCTACCTGATGCAGCCTTAGATATTGTTCTAAGTAGTTTAGAATGCAAGTTTATTTAGAAAAAAGAGCAGCTTTTGGCGTTAAACTTCGCGAGACCCCTGTCGTTATTGTTGTCTCGGCATTAATCGCCCTAATGGATGACAAGGTACATGAGGCGGTCAACCTTGGAATATCTGCCGCTCAGCTGTGTCCCGAGAAAGAAAATGCGATAAAGAATTGTCGATACCAACTTTCTGTTCGGCAGTCCCGAGGCCTGGATGGGCGCAAAGTGGCAAGACATGTTAGCCACGGAGTTGTATAGTACCAACCTGCTAGGCATCGTCGTCAACGAAGTCCATTTAACTTATAAATGCTAAGTGGTATTTATTAAAGGGTTAGTTCACCCAAAAACGAAAATTAAGTCATTAATTACTCACCCCCATGCTGTACCAACCCCATAAGACCTTCGTTCATCTTCGGAACACAAATGAAGATATTTTTGATTAAATTTGAGAGCTGTATCACTCCTCCATAGACTTCCTAAGGGACTAGCACTTGACAGCCCAGAAAGTCATTAAAGAAAATGTTTAAATATTCCATGTGCCTACAGCGGCTCAATTATAAGTATATCAAGCGACGAGAAAACTTTTTGTGCAAAAAAAAAAACATAAATAACGACTTTATTCGACTATTCCAGTACTTCCTTATGGGCCTTGAGACGAGAATTGAAGAGATTTCCAGAACCCATGCGCGAGAACTGAGATGACGATGTTCTTCTTCGACTACTGGCTGTTACCGGCTACTCACCGCTTAGGAGTATTACCGCCACCTACCCTATAAGATGATGATCCATATATAAGGCGCTCCGGATTGTAAGGCGCACAGCACTGTCGTATTTGAGAAGATTAAAGTGCGCCTTATAGTGCGGAAAATACGGTAATTGAAACGCGTATGTACAGCGCGCGTCTTCCTCTGCTTGTAAACAGAAAGTTTATTAATGACTTAATTTTCATTTTTGGGTGAACTAACCCTTTAATATCATATTGTCATTATGCCTGTAGACTACCTACTGTGGTTGTCACAGTGCCACTTTCTCAAGTTGTGTTGCTTTTCAATATCAATATACAGCTACCGCTTTAGTAGCAAAACTTTCAGCTGTGCACACGTACCCGATTAAAGTTGTTGACCATTTAGTCATTAAATTAAATTTAAAATTTTTTAAACTTGTGAAGTACAAGCGCAAACAATTTCATATGCAAATAACAACTTCAACATCAATGTTAATCTGTACTTAATACTTGTGTTTTTCTACAGGCGCATTTGATAGACATTCTTATCACCCATAAACGGCGCCAGGCATTCGTAAACTACGCCTCAAATCCGAGAAAATGAACATGTGGTTCCTAGACCCAAGTCTCAACGAGAATTGATTCTGGCGTTAGCCAGGCTAATTTAGATGCATAACCCTCACCCATGTTCATTTCTCTTATGATGTAAAGTGATAACAATGAAGTCAAGTGAATGGTATTTTCTGATTTCTATGCCACTGATCATTTAAATCATATACAACTTAGAAAAGGTGAGGGGAAATGACTTAGTGCACCTTGAAGTGAGTGAGGAACCCTGAAGGCAATTTTATATGAAGAATGAGAGGACATTAATTTTAGTAGCATCCCGACACCTGCGTCAGCTTGATTTGTACCACGTTCCATGTTGCCGTGGGGGTACGTGACATAAGGTTTACTTTCTATCAGCCTTCCACTGAGTATCAATAACGATTTCATGTAATCAAACGCTGACATTCATGGGCGTATTCGACCTCCTTCAAAGTTTCGATGTGATCGATTCAGTGCGTTTGGCAAGTGTTTACCCAAAGGCTTTAGGCTTGCTTCTGGAAACGTGTAAAATGCTATTTACACTTTAAACAACAAATACAGAATGGAAACAAATAAGCAAGCATCAATTTTGGCATGTCATTTGGGACCATGTTATGACATGCGGTGAAGTGAGCAGGTTCTCTGGCTCGGTTTCATACATTCAGCACAATCCCAATCAATTGCTCGTTAGCTACGGCGTGAGATGATGTGATATGAATAATAAGTCCCACGTTGGCATTTGTGTTAAAGCCTAAGCCCCTTAATAAAACGTTTACACTGCTCATGTACTCTGTGCTGACAGGCGAGTTTTAATGAAGAAAGCCCTGCTGGCCCCTGCTGATCACACAAGATGGATTGACATGATTAGAGGAGGCTCAGGTGAGGGTGGTTTGCTCTTTACCGATTTTGGCCCTCTAGGCCTGATCAGCAAGTTTCTTCTTCCAGGAGAGCTGCACACCCCTCCCATCGGTCCGCTTTATTAAATTGGTGCGACCAGCACCCAAGGGTGTAGTGTTGACTCTTCCTTGCTCACAAGGCAGATATCAAACTGTATGGGACATAATCCATGGACATTGACATTAACATGGGTGCTGTCGACCCATGTTCACCAAGAGGAGATGGCGGCTGTGTAGTGCTAATGAAGAGCTACGAATGAATGAATGTCTAGTAACAACATTAAAGGTTATGGGGAGACTGAGTCTTTCTCTAGATGCAATGTAACCTTATTCAATCAGTTTAGTAGGCTGGAAGTGTTAAAAAGAAGCTGACACTACTTTCCTCAAAAGTAACTTTGTTACCCTAAACATCTCAATCGGAGCCAGAGGGAATCGACCTCTCGGTAAGTCCCGCCCCACCTTAGTTACTGTTGCTAACTCGGACGGACAAACGAGTAACTGTCTTACAATGACAGCTGTTAGTCAGTGAAAACCTTGTCCTAAGGGTTTTTGATAAATTTTGGAAACAGAAGGACCACCTCAAGTGGGAGGGACATTTTAAAATTAATATGGTGGATAACAAGAATAATTTGGAAGCGAGGGTT